CCAGTTAAATGATGTGGCATTGTGCTTGTCAGCAAAATATAATAGAACCGAGAGAGTGTTGCCTCAAGTGCCGAGTAAACTCCGCTATAAGGCGTCAATTTTGAGAACTGGCAACGTTGTCATACTTTTAAACAATGAATTTCTCGGAAAATTTACAACGTCGCGATTAAAAACCGTAATGGTTTACTTCATCGGCACAGGAGGCAAGGCCGGCATTAATATAAGGTTTAAGGAAAACGGCGAAAGCTTCAGTTAGTGTCATATGGACGGTGAAACACCCAAACCACGTATCTCGTTTGCAATGTTTGAAAATCTCGACTCCTATTTTATTTTTATACAGGTGAACGAATCAACACCATTCCTTGAAGTTTCCATAGAATTTTCTTCGCGCAGAAAAGAAAAATCATGACAGTTTTTTTAAAAAAAAACCGTTGAATAGCTCCTCATGTAAAAAAGAAAACAAGACAAGAAGTGTGTAGGTTTCAGGAATTTTGTCAACAATTTTTTGTCCGCGCACCTTTTTTGTCCAGTAGATTATATGGAAATGAGAGATTGAGAGAGAAGGAGGCATTGTTATGGTTGCTCATTTTCTAAATGAAATGTTATTACTCTCTCCTTTTGTAGCATCTTTTTAAATCGTCATTGGTGAATATTTGGTTTTATATCTATCCTTAAAATATTCGATGTACAATATACCTTATATGTGTATATGTACTTTTTTTTACAGTTTTCTTTACGAAATTATTACTTCATTTTGAAAACATTTATATTTTTAAAACGTGACAAATATTTGTAAAACCTTTTCCAAGCGACATTAATCTCAATGAGCCGCAGTTGTGCCGACAGAAACTGCAAAAATGAATAAAATAGGAAAAAAAACCAAGAGGCACGCAATCTTCAGTTTTAACCCATTTGTACATCGATCTTTTGGAGTCAAATACGTCAAATTTTGAGGGTTTGGTTGCGCGTACACCTCGCTGCAGCACAATAAAAGCACAAAATGTAAAAGAAAAAATTAAAGTGCTTTGGAAATCATTAAATTTGACACGGAACCACCAATATTTAAAAAACACACATTATATTATTATTCTCCTTTGATAAATTGATACTTATTTTTCCCCATCAATTTAAATGAGAATAATCAATGCAGAGTGTGCAAACATTTCAAAATCCTGAGTTAATAAACGCTGACTATGCGAGTATAAATATTAGAGCCTAAGAGAGCGGAGCGGCGTGCTGCCAGCGCGAGAGGCTCACTGGCGCCTACAAACCTAAGTGGACACTTCACGCATTGCACAAGGCTTGAAGTATCCACTCAGGTTTGTAGGCGCCAATGCGCGTTTCGCGCTGGCCGCCCGCCCGCCGTGCGGCGACGCCTGAAGCAACTATTTCACAACAGAGGTGTTGCACAGTATTATACGAAATTGAAAGTATTAAGAGTGACAGGCATCCTTTAAAAGTACAGATCTTTCCTCCAGAAATTAAGAATTGAAAGCGTTCTGTCATTTTGAATCCTCGAAGTATAGCCCACCGCGTCGTGGCGCCGTGAGTGAAGCAGTAAAGGCCTAGACAATCAAAACGCCTTCACCTTCAAACGTATGCAATACGGGCATCCGTGGAGCCCGAATAGTTGCATCTAGGAGTTCAATTATTAGTGTTCTTCATTTACTTAGTGTTCGTCACTAACTTTCACTAACTGAGGGTATATTTTGCTTGTTTCGCTTACATCCTAATTTAATTCTAGCACTGCCTATTGTACCAGTGAACTTTTCCGCATTTTGATCGCGGCATTGTCACTTCTCCGAATGATGCTTTGATTGTTTCAATGTATAAAAAGTAGCCACCCTAATTTAATTTTAGCTTTGCCTGTTGTGCCGATGAACTATCACTGATTTTGATCGCGGCATTGTCACTTCTTCGAATGATGCTTTAATCGTTTCAATGTATAAAATGTTGGATGCAGAGTGCGGTCACTACACTCTCAAAGTAATTTCATTGTGAAATTTGGGGCAATTTCAGGGCAAGTTTGAGCGGGCGTCTCAACATATTTGTATTTTTTTATTAATATAGATTTTATTATATTTTATTTCATTTTTTGTGTGGAAGACGTAAGGGATAGGTACCTACCATTGGATAAAAAATGGAGGTACGTTTGGCAAGAGCGCCTCCGCGAGTTATTTACAATGCGAATTACGAATCAATACAAGTGTCCGTCCGCGACCCGAGCGATACACGAAGAAGACAAAGCGAGCATCCCATTTTTTACGACTCCGAACGCAACGGCAGGCGGTTGGACAGGGACCAGGGAACCGGAGGAGGCCACGGCCCATGGGCCGCAGACCCCGGGACCGGCAAACCCTTCCGTAACACGATGACCGATTAAAATTACCACAGACATCACTCCACCTACGAAACTGAATTTGCTCATGCGAGTAACGCTTTGTTGTCAACTCGCCCCCTAGATATTTGAAAATCACCAACTTACTTGAAAAAATGGGCCTGCTACAAAATTTTGTAAAAACGAAAAGAAGTGTTCTTCCTTAAGGAAAATCGCCTCAAAATCAAAATCTGAGTGAGCGTATGTGTTGAGAAAGGCTAAAATTTACTTTAAGCCCTTGTAAGTATTATGTAAGACGATTTGGCTGAGTATTTAACCCCCTTCTCCCCTCCCCCTTCCTCTTGTAAGGCCCCGTGAGACAAATTCTCACTTCCTCCCCTTTTTAAACCAACCGAGACTAGCCTGACTCCAACCTTACTCCCATTTTTTTCAGAAAAAAGGGTTAACCCCGAAAAATAGCTGAACAAATTATTTTTGCAGGAACATTTTTTTTCTTTTTTTCTCTTTTTTTTATATACATATTTTTTTTTTAAAAAAAATAGGAGTCTTACGCAGGAGTGTGCTTGAGCCTCCTCCCCCTCGTAAGACCCTATAAAGCAAGTACGAAGTCCCTTTCCTCCTTAAGAAGCTCAAGTGATACTTAAACGGCTCCTAACTGGTACGCACAAGCAAGTTTACTTGTCACCAAAAGCCTGGCTGCCTACATTCCTTGCGACCAGGCGTGACAGTGATATTGATTTATCACGACTCAATGAATCTTCTTGACGCCATTCTAACGCTTGTCAAGCCTCACCCTCATTCCCTTCATACTTACATGTGTAAAAAAGTAAGTTCTCTCGACTAACATTTAAAGTTATGCTCTCATGACCTACTCCGCCCGACTAACGTCACTGCATTGAAAGAAAACGCTGCAAAATTGCGCACACATATTGATCTCTCTGTTTCTACGACGAAGCGACACGAAGCGTACTTTGGAACAAATTGTTGAAACAAGTTTTAAATGTAAAATAGGATCATCTTTGGTCTAAAGAAAATGTTTGGTAGTGAAAAAAATTTGTCTTAATTAAAGAATTATCTTTATATTGTAAGAAATTTTTGTCAGCTTACGCATGTATCACCTATTCGCATGACTCTCTCACCCTAGTGGCGACGGAGACGGTATCATTTAATTCTATTGTACTAATTACTATCTTAAAAGTATCCCTCCAAATCACAAGCAAATAAAGACAAACCAAGAATGTCGATTTCATTAATGCGGATGAGACGTGACAGAAAACATTTTAAGTGCTAAACGTGATTTACTGTACTGATCCATGGGTAGCAAATCCACGTTTTATGCCAAGGTAGGATTGAATGCATAGTAAAACTTAGGGATTAGAAACAGATTTGTTAAAAGCCTCTTCGGCAATACTAGCTGCTTGGTCGGGTTGAGGGAAAACGCTTAATGAAAATGCTAATGTTGTCAAATTTCTCCCCATAAAAGATGTAATATTGAGGAAAGTTATAAATATGTTTCCTTAAAATTGTCAGATCTTTTAGTTTACATTCCGCGGACGATTCGTTGAAAAATTGAAAGAAAAATATTGAAGAATTTTCCCTGAAAAATCCCATTTTACCCCAGTATATTTGGCAACGCCTGGAGACTTACATGGGGTTTCTCCCTAGAACGGCAGTACTGCCTGGGAGCCATTAATGGTGCAACAGCTACAGACACATCTGGACTGACAATCTGGTTAGCGCGGTGATTAAGGAAAGCCGTTTAATTTTATTTACTGCTAATAAACTTCAATTCAATTTTCAAATGAAAAAGGGAGGGTAAAGCGACAATAAATCCACAAATGCATATACGAAGTCAGTAAGATGTAAGCGTTACGTAATTTCCATCGTCAAAACCATCTCCTTAAAAGAGCTTACAGTGTTTTTTTGGTCCTTGGTCGGTGTGACATCCCAAACTTAATACGGCACTTTTCGGAGGTCAATAATTTATATCTTGCATTCTCAGGGATACTTCTCACCTCCTTAAATCTGATTATGCTCGAATGCTATACCAATTAAATGACAGATTTTTCCTTGGTTCTATCTCAGATTAAATTATTCTGATGTATCATGTGAGGGGCTTAGAGGACAAGACGCATAAGTGCAGTTTTTGCTATTGCGATAAATACGTGTTTGAAGTTTCGAAATTATATGGATCCTAATGGTGGAAAGAAAGTCCAAACTGACTTTTTGATGCCTAAAAATTGGAATTTGAAAGCGAATTTTCACAGAATATGTATAAAGACTAGTTTTACATATAAAATCATCGATATATCTCAATTTACTTCAAAAACTGCACTTACGCGCCTTGTCCTCCAAGCCTCTCATTTAAGATTCTCTAGATTTGAATAAAAAATACAGTAAAATTTGTCCTCCAACCCGCCTTAGCACCAGTCATGCATCATTACAATTTTCGGGTTTGCTCTGGATTTACTTATTGTTATTACACAATTTAAAAAACCGTTTGTCTCAAAATTTCACCAACTTTCCGCTTCCTGAACATTCTTCACGCTCTCCTGATACACTTCAAAATGAAGAGACAGCCCATTTTCGAAATTATCTATTTTATCCCGAGTTAAAAAACCCTGTTCTCACCAGAAACTGTTGCTTTTTTGGTGTTTTTCAGTTTGCTGTGGTTTTTATCGTTGCTTGCATCGGAAGGGGGTTATCATGCAGCAAGAACGGTCTATAAAGGTAAGCCAAAATACTCTTTATTTATTGATTCACCATAATCAGATTTTTCATATTTTTCTATCTGTTAGATGGGTAATGCGTCAATGACCATCCCGTCCACAAGGAATCAGCCGCCATTAGCATCATCTCTTCTCACACCCTTCGTGAATCAAGGGGGCTTATAACAATTTTATGACCCCGGGAAAGTGGTTTAGAGTTAAAAATTATGACGAGTCCATGACATAAACCTGCAACCATAATGTTGTCGGGCTGGAATGTTAAACTTGCCTTAGTACTTAAGCACTGCCATAATATATCTCTCCCAGAGTACCTAAATAATGAGAGTATGGGCAAATCACATCATGGAGGGCTTAAGACCCGAAAGAGTAGCCGACCTTCGTACACACAAAATTTCGCTGCCATTCTTCAGATTGCAAAAACAACCCGAGCTGGCCAAAAATGTCCTTAGGTGAGCGTTCTCTCGCAAGAATTGGTAAATGTATGCAAACATTAAATCAAACTTACAACGACAAGCTTTACAAACTGCGCTATTATGCTTTACAAACGACAGGTCATAAAAATTGTAAGAATAAATATTTCTGGATAATTTGAATCCATAGGTTGGCTGCCCTTATGGATTCTAATTTTATTCGCGGAGGCATCGGTATGAGGTCTGATGAATTTCGAAATCGGAATTTCACACAGGTATTCTACTATCTTTCACAGGGTAAAAGAGTAGAGAGAGAAAAAACGGAGACACCTTAAACGCAAAACCTTAATACCCAAATTTTCGTCCGTGGTGAAAAGCACCGAAGTAAGTCATTGGCTTCCCTCCCTCACCGGCGCGGCTTAGGTATAAACCCCGCCACCCCCACAACCACCCGCCTGCGAAACTCTTCCACTATCTTCAGATTGTGCTTTTCAGCTTTGCGTTTACAAACCCAAAAGATCGCGATCATTACCTCGGCAATTTGATAACGTTGCTCTGCAGTTGATATGTTGAACGGATTGTAGGCTCTGGCGGTCGGAGAACAAGAGAGAGAGGGGGGCAGGTGCCCCTTCACCCCCCGGATTAACTTTAGACCGATTGGAGACGAAAGTTTAAACTTCCGAGACGTCGTTCATAGCTCAAGTTCAGCAACTTGCGAGTATGAAAAACTTAAGGTTCTCGGTCGAGTGTAAACGCGGGAGCCAACAAACCACCGGAGGATTTTAAGAGGGTTAACAGTTAAATTAAATCTCGTTCTTATATGTTTAATAAAAATGTTGTGCCTATAGTGTCTTGAATAATTGAAAAAGTGTAGCGGAATAATTCCGGTCTAAAAGTTGTATAGATTTAAGTTGTCTATTGGTGTTTGAAAGTTATATTAAATATTTAATATCTATGAAATTGAATTCTCGTGCATGTATTTGGTATCCCTTCAATTGAGGTGTTGAGTGCAGAAAGGGCATTTCTCGGTTGCGGTGTTTCGACATCTCCAGTTCGAATTTATGTTTTAGAGAGGAAACTATTCTGTAAATTTTATAATATCAAATAGTTTTTTCTTTCCACCAAAATTTTGTCCATTTAAAGGAAAATAATTGCGTAAATTTAAATACTGCACATATATTGAGTATTTTTACAAAGAAAAGAAGAAGATGCACGATTTTGAAAACACTGCAATCGCGCTGGTTCTTTTTGCTAAATGCGATCCATGCTGCGATGAAATCACTTAAGTCGTCCACAAGGCTGATGAATCGTGTTCATAAAATATCTAGTAAAGCTTACTCCGCGAACGAAACGATTGAAACGGTGTTAATACCCTGGTAAAAATTAGCAGTAGAATCTGTGTTCCAAAATACCATAGACCTACGGCCGGTTGTAAGATTTCCAATAGCTTCTATAGCCGGCTACACAATTTCTTATAGCCTTTCATAGCCGATGGCGATTAAGCAACTCACAGCCAGGCGATAAAATGTATGCTAAACGTCACTAATTACGGATGTTAGGATTTAGTGAGTTTTTGGACCACTGCTCTCTTTTTGGGCCGTAGTATCTTGATTTATTTTGCGAGGAAAGCTCCGTACTCTTGATGGATGCCTACCATTCCTAATAAATTAGAGCGCCTTCAGTTTTGTATGATACTGTGCAATACCTCTGGTGTGAAATAGTTGCTTCAAGCGCCGTGGCTTGCTGCGGTGCGGCAGGCGGGCAGCCAGCACGAAACGCGCATTGGCGCCTACAAACCTAACAGGGATACTTCACGCGTTGCGCAATGCGTGAAGTATCCTTGTTAGGTTTGTAGGCGCCAGTGCGTTGCCGCTCCGCTTTGTGTTAGGCTCTAATATTTAATCTGGCGGAGACAGCGTTATCCAACTCATGATTTTGAAATGTTTGCACATCCTGTATGGATTACTCTCGTTTTAATTGATGAAAAAAAAATTGTATTAAAGGAAAATATAACGTGTGTTTTGTAAATATTAAGGTGGTTCTGTATCAAACTTAATGATTTCCAAAGCACACAAATTTCTACACAATTTCTTATAGCCTTTTATAATCGATGGCGAAAAAGCAACAGCCAGGCGATGAAGTGTAAAGCCCGGCTATAGGAACTATAGCCCGGCTGCATAATTTTTTATCGCTTCGTATAGCCCGGCCGTATGATTTTCTCCGCATTCAACAGCTAGCTATATGATTTTCTGTAGCCTTCTTTAGCCGGCTGTAAGAATTCCTATGGTGTTTTGAAACGCAGCTCTTATCGCCGATTTTTACCAGGGTATAGTCTTGGACAGATAAAATGTAGCGAACTGGGGACGCAGCTTAGCGGCGGCCAAAATTCACACATTTCCGAAGAGCTGGCGGGCAGTGGAGAGCTCGCAACTTATTGAATACTTATTTGAACATGGGAAAGTGACTCGCACAAGATTGCCAAGGAGAGGCCGGGGAGGTTGAGATTTACGACTGGAAGAAGGAGTCTGTGGTACTCGCGCAGCGGAAGCTTTGCCCGTTTTTCATCAAATCTCTCAGCCCTGTGCTATTCCAAAAATTGTCGACTGCCGCACAGTGGATCGAGTCAATAGAGGAGGTCGGACAGAATTTGATAACTTTAAACGCTTATAACTCATTTTATACAAATTTTCAGATTCTACTAGTGGCTCCATTGGTTTTCTCGTAAAACTTTCTTCTAGAAGCACCCCTGAAAATTTAAAATTCGACCCAATAATTATCAAAATTTGCAGTTTTAGTCAAAAATGTCATGTCCGACCTCTCTAATAGACTCGATCCACTGTGTGCCGTCCCGGGACAGCCGCTTGAAATAGTGGAGCAACCAGAGGCTGAAACTTCCGTAATTTAGGAAAGAAACGAATTGACGATTTATGAGCGGGGGAGGGGTGGCTCTTTCAATTTTCGTGCAAAGCAAAATCTCGAAAATCTGACGTGTTGGCTGAATTGAATTTATGACAATTGGTTCCTCGTGGGAGAGGTTTGCGTATGACACCTTACAGTTTGCAGCCGCTTGCCTGAGAGTCTAGAGTACCTCCATACAGAGATTACTGGTACTGGATCTCATGGAGCAACTCGAGATAAAAAGGAAGGGTTATCACTATGAGCTTGCGTGAAGCTTAAAACTGAGGCTACGCCGAAAATTGAGGGCGAACTCACAATGAGCCAAAGTCGTTACCGCTTCACGGTTGGTGAATTTTTCTTACCATCCTTCTTGAACGAGCCAGCCATCTGAGAGTGATACCACCATTCGATCGCGTGGGCGCTTGTATTGCCTACACTGAAAACTGAAGGGGAACCGGCAATGAGCTAAAACGCTACCGCTACAACCTCTACACCACACCACAACCGTCAATTAATACCCATCATGTATTACGCTAGTGACTAAAGATCAACCTTGTGGGGAAAAAAATAAAAAACTGTCACTACGTAAGTCATAACTTTTAACTTCTGTTGTTGTTTGTCTTTGTCCTTCCTCCCACTATTCCCAGCAAGCTTCCTAGCTCGGTTTATTGCCTCTGGACATAGTTTTTTTCTTTTTTTTTTCAGGTAAGTAGGCTACTTTTGCCACCCAACTTTTTTACGGGCAGATTACAATCTCACCGTATCGGAAATAATACCTGTTATCGTTCTTACCGAGGGACAATAATGATCCCTCCAACAAGAGTAATTTTCTTTTTTAATAAAGCTAATTGAAATGGTCGGGAAACGGGTACATATATTTCCACCGTCACAGGCGGGAAAAAGTAGTTTCTCATAAATCAAGCGAATAAGTTTTTATCCCGCCGACATGATTTAAAAACTACCGGCGACATGACCTCAAGCAAGTGCACTACCCCACCCCTCTCCGCCGCACCATTCACCCCGTGTATTTACTCAACCGAGCGTAATCTCGTATAGAAACCAACTTTCACTCGACTTCCACCCCCTTCCCACCCACCGACCCAAAGTCGTGATACGCGGAGAAAGAAAGGCTGGGCTCTATTGTACCCAAAACGGCGCCATGACCAAGTTGTCCATTCAATGCGACATCGATACTGTTAGACGCGGATTCATATTTTTCCCGTAGATTTGGGAATGATGCATCCCGGATAAATTAATTTACTTTGCCGAGTAAACTATCCTCGGCTGGCAAACACAAAAATGAATTATTCCCGTTGCAACTTTTCCAGTCAATTGTTGACCTTCTCATCGCTGCACTTAATAAATGTGGGCTCCGTGGCTGGCGGGCACTGCCATGCAGCCCGTCTCCTCTCTCCATTGGGGGGCTGCCCAGGCAAAAAGGTTTGTTCTTCAAGTTCGTATCTTGAGCTTTGCAGTCTCCATACTTACTCCTACTCGTTCCAATCATCTTCTGTGTCTCGGGGTTTCAGCTCTCGGTCAATGTTTACTTCACCATTATTTACAGATCAGAGGATGAAATTCACCATATTTGCCAGGACTCTCTCTCTCTCTCTCTCTCAAAAAAAAAAAAAAAAAAAAAAAAAAAAAAAAGAATATGAGACGAAACCAAAAATTTTCAGCCCATGTCGAGTCG